GAGCCACTCTAACAGAGGACCGTGGGGGGAGACAGAAGAGATGGGGTGGGGTTACGGAGGGAGGACAGGGACGTGGAATGAGAAAACAAGGCCGAGGTAATGGAGGTTAAACGAAGTGGAGATAGAGGGAGAAGCATGGCCGCATACAGCCTCTATTCGCTTTGATTAACGGGCCCTGCTTTGAGTCACTGCTCTAATATTTCCAGACGTCAAACAAAGTTGACCCAATGAGCTGAGAGCTGTGTTCGTTCTGACCTCCCGGGTCACTGCTGGCCTAATGTCTCTCGCAAAGCAGAACAAAAACAAACAGCCGGCCTAAATGGGTGAAAAATGCTCAGACTCAAAGAGGTGTTATATGTTACTCTAACCCCAAAAGTAACCTCTGTTCCACACTTGATCTCATTCTTAAAAAGGAAAAAGCTGCAGTTCTTTCCACACTTTTTCTAAATGAGACAAAGAAGACTATAGGTGTTTTCACACCTGATAGTCTGGTATACGCTCCGTTTGATTGGGGGCCGGAGTTGCAACATTTGTTAAGTTTTCAGCTGCTACAATTTGCTTTCGCCCTGCACTGTGTCAAACAAGTCAAAACACTTTGAAAAACGTGTTGCCCCCACACACCCCTCGCCAGTGGTGGCGTTACACCAAGAACCACTGAAGGAAAAGACACAAAAAGCTCCAAAGAAGACATGAGAGCAACTTCCTTCTTCATAAAATGTAAACAAAAATTCAGTAGGATCAGATTTTAGTGGTTGCAAGATTTCTTTTTTCTCTTTGGTAAAAACTTGAGACATTTCTCCTGATAGAACTGGACTATCGAATGTTTGTTCAGGTTGCATTTTCCCAGAATGTCCCGTTCACTTCCTGCTATTGGAATAGCCTTCGAAAAGTTAACCGGTTTGGTCCGTATCAGAGTTCGATTCCTCATTCACACCTTTCCAAAACAAATCGGACTTTCTAGGTAAGTGAATTGGAGTTCAGTCAAAGCGGACTAAACAGGACTGATGTGAATCCACCCTAATTTTGTGAAAAGCTGGGAACAAGAGCCGCTGTTTAATGTTTGCTAATAAATCCTGATGAGATCTCCCTCGGTCAGGTCTGGATGGCAGGGGCAACTCTACCCACATGGTCCAGTCCTGATCCAATTACAGCCAAACAGTGACAGTTACCAGCCCAGCAGTCAGGTACCCTCCACTCCGCCGTCCCCCGAGGCCGGCACGCCCCTCTCTCCATCCCATTTGGGCTCCACTGAGCCCTTTGCTGGACCTTAATTGGATTGGTCAGCAGTTAAACACATTACAGCAGAGCAGTTAGGCACTTGATATTTCCAAGTTGTTGGCAGTAATTTGCTCCTATTAGCAGCTTTTACAGAGAATAAGAGTCGGTGCGCAAACAATCGACTGAGTAGGGTTTCACCCTGCAGACAGTATGTGTTTGTGTGCATGTTTTTGTGTATAAAAGGGTGTTTGTTTCAGAGGGAGATTCAATTTGAGGAGTCAAACCTAATCAGAGGACACAGAAGTCTTACGGGAGCGTATGTGTTGAAGTGGGTGTCAAAGGAGGATCCCGGAGGCTCTGAATGATCATCATAATGGAAACTGAGGGCTCACAGCATCATAAGACAGTGAGCATCTAAATTAGCGAAATCATAACACAAATATGGTCAAAGGATGCATCAAGGCATTGCTTAGAATTGGTGACTTTGTACACCAAAATATTTTGGTGTACTTCCTAGTGTAAATCTTAGTATACTTGCAATAAGACAAAACTAATTTACAACATTTGAGAAAGATATGGGAGCTTATTTTCAGTCAATAATTCCTTAATATTGATGAAAAAGTATTAGTTCCACCTGCAAATTATTTCACTTATTACTAGTGGAACTAGTACGTTTTTATCATACAGGATTATTTACCTGTCATACATAATAGCAAAAGCAATCATGTACATAACTGTAAATGAAAAGGTAAAATGTTTATTTGCTTAAAATGGGACTCAGGCCTCCCCTTACACTGCTGCCCTGGGTTACTGCCCAAGTGGTTTAAGAGGTGCTGCTTCAGTGCAGGTTTTACCTGAGCCCCAGCTTTTCAGGATTATGAGAGAAGAAATTAAAAGATGAAATAAAATGGAAAAATTACTTCTTGGTCCTGTCATGTTTTTTTCCTTTTTAGCTTAGTTTCTCCTCTTTTTGCTGTTCGCGTTGAGAGTTGGAGCACACTGAAACGTGAAACAAAGGATCCAGGTGGAGAGACGTCAGGACAGATACGCTGCAGATGAGGAGAGATGACTGAAGTCTGGGGGTTTCAGGGATCGTGTCTGGGTATCTGTCTGTGAGGAGGACCTTTCCACCTGTTGTAGCCGACATTCCTTCACATTCCTGAGCTCATGCAGACAAAGCGTGGTGAGAGGGCCAGGAACTGACCTTGGCTCTGCCTGTCAACAGTTGATCTCACAGATAGAGACCACAAGGGCCCAGACACACTGAGGCATAATTCAAGAATGCATAAGGAAATCACTCTACATAGGCATATGTTGTTCTTCCAGAAGAAGTTGAAAACTTATTCACTTACAAACAGAAGGATGGAAAAAAGACGACACATGTATGTCTTGGATAAATAAGAAACATTTCACTCTAATTAGTGAAAATGTGAAAGCTGGATTAAATTAACTAGTCATGTTTGCACTACAAGTGTGTGAAAAACTTTGTCAGTATTCCTCAAAACACAATTTTGCAATTGTAGTGTTTCCATTAAACAAGAAACATCAATGAAATCAAACATAAATAACTTTTTTCATGCGATAAGAAATTTTAAAGCATAAATCCGTTTGATGCAGTTGTTGATCATGTGACTTGTGTGATGCAAAAAACAGTGTTTCCATTGCGGTTTTGTTAAATACACCAATTTTTATACTGACATGAAAAAATTAAATAAATAAAAACTCATCCTAGCAACAAAACTTTTCAATCAAAAAAACCAAACGTTTTTTTGACACGTTTTTTATTGTTTTTTATCAGGTTTTATTAAGCAAATTTATTTTAAAAATGTCAAGTTGTGCAATTACATGGTCAATGAAAACGCAGCCAGTGACTCTTCCTCTGAGTTCAGCCCCAACATCTCAAACTGTTTCTGATGTAGCCTGTATACCCAGGATTGCACAATGAATTAAAGCAGTTTGGCGTCTTTACTTGCCAAAATACTTTAATTGCATGTCATTTAGCGTGAAGGTAAGGCTGTAACTTCATTTAACAGATAAATTTTGCAGGTTTGAATTAATAAAAGAAGATTAGTGAAGTTCCCATTTCAAAAGAAGGAGGTCGTGATGTGGTCAAACTCAGATCAATCACCCAGGAGCAGTTTGCTTTCTGCTGGCAAATCCATTTTTAGTCATCTTTACTATTGTTTGTGCTGATTATTTTTATTTGCATTGATTTGTTTTATTCGACAAATTAAATATATTAATTGTGACGGAAGAATCTCCTTTTTCCTAGGATGCAACAAACTTGTAAAATTACACTACTGCATACAGATTAGTCGATCAGTGCATCACAAACCGAAACCCAGACACTGCAGCTTGACCTGCAGTGTTTTCTGATTAAAGAAAATCTATAAGCCTAAGTCATGCTGAGGGTTTTTAATTATAGTGCTGTGTGTCCACCTCGGTTTCATAGGGCACTGAGCCACGGAGCATTGCAGCTGTTAACAAAGTGGAGGGACAGCAGGAAGAGGTGGGGCAGAGAGCCTGGAGGACGCAGCACCCATGAATGGAGCTTATTCTCCCCGAGAGGACTTCAGAAGGCATCGCATCACTCAGCTGGGCGGAGCACCCACCGGCGGCTGAGCCACCGTCAGCCCAGAGGTTTCAGATGCACTGAGCACGCTCTCACACAACGTACTGACCGGCCAGTCTGGGCCAGCAGAACAGCAGTCACACACAAACGCACACACAGCCAATTTTAGTCTCAAACTTACTCTGAAGTGAAAAGCCACACAAAATCATTTGTACATCCCTTTCAAGTGAGTTACAACATTAATTTCCATGTCTGGAAAATAATAAAACTAACAGGAACTTGCTGAAGATTAGGGCTGGGTGCATTGATCTGAATAACTATACTTTCAATATTAAGGTGAGAACTGGTGGTGTATCGATAATGGTTTGATAAGATCGATACTTTTGTTTGCAGTTTCCCTTCCATATGTCCTCCAATTACTCCAATATCCTCACAAGAAGCCAAATATAAAGAGCTTACATTTTAAATTTAAGAGCAAGATTTTATACCTTTGTCATGTTTGTGCTCAAAACATCTACCGTCTTTCAAATGTAATCCAGTTAATTCCCCCTTATTGGTTCTGTGATTATCTATTCAGCCCGCTGAAAAACTTAAGATATAAACCTCAAACTTGACATATTAATTGTCAAGTAGTAGTTAATTTTGAATATTAACTACTGGCAGAAGAATAGTATCCCTATTTAGGTTATATGCAGATTACAGTTAGAGAACGAAGCCAGAACAGATGCTTTCTGAGGGATCTAGCAAACCAGCACCCCAACGGAGGGATGTAAAAACCCAGTCTACTTGGCTAATGCCTCCTTGTGGCAAAAACCGTTATTCCAAAACACTTTTCTTTTTTTTTTTTTGAGTCTAATATCATATTTTAAAGTTATTGCCTCATCAAAAACATAATTGGGCACACTGGGAGTGTTGCTTTGATTCTTATTAGTGTTTGAGAAACCAGGCTGCACAGTGGCGCAGTTGGTAGAGCTGTTGCCTTGCAGCAAGAAGGTTCTGGGTTCAAGTCCCAGCCCCAGTCTTTCTGCATGGAGTTTGCATGTTCTCCTTGTGCATGTGACCCCACTAAGGGACAAGGGGGTAAAGAAAATGGATGGATAGTGTTTGAGAAACCCTTTCATTTTCCTTGGCTGCCATTTTGGGGTGCATAAATACTTGCTCCAACAAAGTGCCGCCTATTTCCACAAATCTCCTCCTTAGAGCTGCAGACTCCAGCTGAGCTTCCGACTCACTCACATTTTCAAGACTTTAGACCCCAATCAGCTCCTCCAGACTAGTGGCAGCAGCAATTCGCACCTGGTGTGACTCTGCATTTTCTGAGCTCATCATACAAGCTACTTCTCAGTCCAATGTGTCTAAGAATGGTTGTTAACAGCTTAATAGAAGAAACTTGTTGTAATGATGTGCTGAAGGCAGAGTGTCAGAAATAGTAGGAGGTTCTTAAAGAGACAGAGCCCCGATTTCAAGGTGTCAAAAGTGCAAAGTCAAGTTTCTTTTAAGTCATGTTCGAGATTTGCAGCATTTTTATAACTGAAGATAACATAGTTATGTGATTATCCTTTAAATGGCACTATGTGCTTGGAAAATACATAATGTCAACCTTTTAAGATTCTGGGTGTACTTAAATGTTGTAACTTTTGCTCCAGTTCTGACCTGCATTTTTACCCTGATGTGCACAGAGATGCATCATTATATTCCTCCCAATAACAAAATAGCATACTTTTTAGGAGCAAGCCATGCAACTGTTGTGCAAGTCTCACTTTTCTCCACATAATCAGTAATTGAGGTTTTCTCTATACTTACACAAATGTACCTAACCAAACATTATGAAGACAACATCTGTCAGGTTTCTCTATTTCTTGAAGACTATTACCAGTTACTTTACCTGCAGTAACATTTTGTTTGGCGCTAAAAGGTCACTTCCACAAAAAGCTACAAACTCATGGTGGATGGAAGAAAAATTAAAACACTTATATAGAACAGACTGAGAGGAAGTTTGTGTTTGGAACAAGATGGGAAAAATATCTGGCCATCTGGCCATATTAAGACTTGCAAGGTGCTGTACATTGTGCTGCCAGTGCCCTGACTTTCCCTGGAAAGAGTCTTCATCTGCTGATCTCTCTTGCAGTACAACAGGTGTATCTGTTTCCTTCTTTTCTCTATGGAAAAACAACACTACAACTTCCCCAGCCTCCAGGTTCTTAACCAACAATGGATAATGCATCAAACAAATTATCCAGCATTGTACCCGTAACAGTCATTTGCCTCAGCAGACAGATACGGCATTGTGTATTGTGAGAGCATGATGTTGATCCGTCTCATCAGCAGTCAGTCAGGCAGAGTCTTTGAGGCTGAGATGGCAAAACGGTGCCTCTCATTGGGCCTGTCCTTATGTTTGTGCTCCAATTATACACGTCTTCTCATCTGCCATGCAAGCCCTCTGACCTCTGACTGAGGGTCAACATTTAGTACCCCCCCCCCCCCCCGCCAACATACACAATAGGTCTCCATTCACAAGGCAACAGTGGGCAGAAAGAAGAACAGCAAGAAAAGAAATGTTCCCCCAGACATCAAACTCCATATCTCCCCATCGTTTCCCCTCATCTGCACGCTGTGCAGGCTCTGCCCACATCCTCCTTTGGCGACGAGACCCTCTGTCTGCCGCCCTCTCTCTAAAACAAACCCTCTCAGCCCACATCCCCCAGCTATGCAAGACCAGGTTGTTTGCTGTGAGTGAACCTATGCCAGAGAACACAGCTTTCTGCACAAAACCAGCCCGTACATCTTTGCAGCAGAGCAAACACCTCTGTCTGAATTCCAGCTGATTCTAAAGCATCCGAGTGTCACCTGGCGCCTGACGCCACCATCACTGTCTGTCAGAGGAGGGAAGGGAGCTCCGTGACGAGGGGCGAGGGAGCACAGCCTCACCCCCCCGAGGGTTATGGAGGCAAGACTAAGGTAGTTAAGGATGGCAGCAGAGGGTGGTGGTGGGTGTATACTGGACTGGTGTTAATGTGTGGGCGGGTGGGCAGAAAGGATTTAAATGGATATTGACGCCCCAGGGGTAACCTGGCAACAGGCTGGAGCTGCTGTCAGATTAAGATCTGAAAGAGAGAGATAACCACTTTACTGCCCCCTGGACTGAGCAGAGCTGGAGGGCTGCAGGGTGTGTGTGCCTGTGCGTGTGTGTGTGTGTTTAACCTGCAGAGTTAAACACACAGACAGGAGGCAGCTGCAGAGCTGCTTCTAAAGATGTGCTTAAAATGCCACACAGCAAAGAAAATCCATCCATAATTGACAGCAACGCTTCAATCTTGCACGATGTAATGCAGGAAGGCGACGCATTTACACAACATGAACACATGGAAATATTTGATGCATAACAAGCGATGAAAGATAAACAGTGTTTTTATTTCTTCTAACATGCTTGATTTAATGACAACAATTACACGCCTACCTAAACAAACTCGGTGTAGAAATTTGCAGCAGTGAAAACGGCAGTGTGATTTCTTGACAACACCAAAAGCAAGCAGTAGCGTCTTCATGTAATGTGACAGCAGAATTCATCTATTGGAAAAACTCAAAACAATATTTTTGAGCAAAGTCAAGTCAATTAGCTACCTCTTTATTTGATAATTTTCATATTACAGTACACTTTTAGGTGGTGAAATGGTGAGCTTGAACCCAAAAAATGTGCTTGATGAGACTTAATTTAGGACATAGGAAGGGAGAGGTGTTTAATTTTTCACATAGTTTTTGGACATATTTAAATTTGGTCATCTAAATCATTGAAGTGTGGCAATAACGGCAAAACAGAAGAAATAAGTAAAGAAGCAAATAATTTTACAGTGACTTAAACTCAATCTTTGTATTTTTCTGTTGTTTAGCTAAAATGTTTTGTTTATTAATTTATTTGAATATAGTTTGCACAAAACTTGTGTGAAGGCGTTTTCTGTCCAATTCTTTTACATTAAGAGTTTAGAGGTGCAGATTACATGTGGCGATTTACTCTGGAAGGAGGCACTTATTCTTTAGGGAAACCTTTTAAGTGAAAATAAGCTAAATACAGATTAGTGGGATCTAATACCGATAGAGGAGAGTTAAAACCAAAATTGAAGGTGACAAAGTAATCAGACAGAAGATTGATGAATGCAAAACCTTGTTGAAAACAAATTTGTATGGATGTCCGCTCCACTGATAAGCTTCCGAAGTCAATCATTCTTTTCAAAAAACAGTAATCAATAAATTATCTTTCTGATCTGCAGCACAAATGCCATTCAATTCTTGAAAGTCCCACACTATGAAATGTGTAAGCTAACACAAATCCACACTAATACAGAGCTGAACACACTGAAGATGGGCTGAGAGGGACATGCGAGCCCAATCGGGGCCTCCCAGACTGAGAGGGATTTGTGGGACGGCACGCGACCGCGTCACAGCAGCGCCTGCGTCTCCCGTCAGCTGTGTTTGTGCAGGGCCATGATGGAGGGAGGGAAGGCCGGGGAGGAGCCGGGTCTTTACACAAGGACAGCTTCTACATAAAAGAGTTCAGGAAAAAAGAAGGGGCATGTAAATCCACTTGACAGGGAAGAGGGATGGGCTGAGGGGAAAGGAGGAGCCCTGGATGAAAGTTGAAACAATGACTTTTTCTTTTGTGCAGGTGTTTTTGTGTGTGCACGTGCGCAAAGAAGAAAGACGGGCACCGAGGCAGCATAAATAACATGGAATGACTTAATGACATTAACCAAATATGACGTGTAAAGATCTGCTTTCTCCTTTTGTTTAACTTTGGCACAATTTGCATTTGCCAGCTAGTGACTACAAGGAGTGCGACAGTGGATCTGATTAAATTCATAAGTGTGATTTTTGTTTACCAAGACTGCACGGCGTGTGTTCATGCTTGCTTTTCATTTGGTTAACAATAAATTTAAAAAATAAATGAGACCACAAATGGAAACAAAATACTTTTATTGCAACCACAAATCCAAATGAAGTCAGAAGATGATAGTTGGTTTGGGGAGTATTTTACAGTGAAGCTGTAAAATCCATTTTATGTGTTGACTGTAAACCTAAATCCTCCTTTAAGAAACAAGTGTGGTCCAGGAATCTTCAAAGCATATTTAACAGCACTGGCAGTTTTATTTTGATGTCTGCCTTTGTGCTATCAGGGAATTGATACAAGGTTTTAACTGATGTGAAATTCCTTTCTACATAGTTAGCAGCAAATCATCTCTAAAGCAGAGAAAAAGTGTATTTCTTGATTAAGTGATGTTAATGTCATTACAACTGAATCTAAGCTGAATAGATATTCAGAACAAATGAATGTGTGGATGCGCCATAACTTTATCCACCCACCAGAAACAAAACTGAAGTTATTATCTTTGGACCCAAAGAGGAAAGATCTAGAGTCAATGCGCAGCTTCAGTTTATTCCAGCTACAAACTAGCTGTAAAAGTTTGTAGTGCAGGTTTGAGTCCATCACCACACCAGAGTCACGTAAAGACAGTTACAAAGTCGGGTTTCTAACACCGGAAGATTTCCAGAATTAAAGGACTAACGATCTCAAGAAACTCATCCATGTGCTTATCTTCAGTTGAATTGATTACTGCAACAGCGTCTTCACAGATCTGCCTTAAAAAAATAAAAAAGGATCAATCCTCCTGCAGCAGCTGATCCAGAATGCTGCTGCTCATATTCTCACTAAAACTATGAAGACATGGACATCACACCAGTTCAAGGGTATATTTGATGTGTACTGATCATTCTGGTGGCGGCATTTGACAAAATGTTTATTGCTCGTATCATAATTGATCACTGCACAATATTTTTATGAAGTAAATCACTTTGAACTGCCTGGTTGCTCAAATGTATGACTTGACCATTTTGGGGAAGGAACTGATGATTCTTTGAGTCATTTCAGAGACACCAAGTGTTGATGTGGGGACTGCTGACTCTACAAATACAAAGAAATAAACGTGAGAACCAATGATCAAACCTGTCCATTTTACTGCAAATATCAAAGAAAAATAATTTTAAAAAATAAACAGGAGCTAAAATAGATGTAGAGTGCGTTACTGACCCCTAACTCCAGTTCTCTGTGTCTGCGATACCCAGATCTCATTTCGTTTTCAAGACTTTAGGCCCTAACTCTGCACTCTCATATCTCCTTCTGGCCGATTTAGGGAATTATTCAAATGAAGGAGAAACTTTGCTCGATAAAGACCCTCAGATGTTCTTTTGAGGGCCTTTGAAGGTTGCAGATGGAGGAGGGATTCCTCTGGAGTGGCTCTCTCATTAACAATGATAATTAAGATCTGCGTGCGTTTGATATACTGTACAGCATTAAAGGCCTGTTGCTGTGGGAGAGAGTTAGGGGCAGTAAAAATTTTCCAATGTGGAAAACCCCAGGAGCGTTTTAGATGAATTGCCATTCAGTTCCTTTCTGCCTGGCCCGACACTCGCTCCTCTGTTCTCCACAAAGACAACACAGGATTGTAATATTAAAAACTGCTGCCTCAAAAAAAAAAAAAAAACAAGTTCAACAGGAACAGAAACTTAATCAAATGTAAATACTTAATATCCCTTATGGGGGTTAGCAGAACAATACTTTTATTTTTTTTAAATAGTTTGAGAACACTTGAAAAATTATTATATGAAATCGCCTCAAATAAATCATGAGTTTACTTTGGATCCCAGTGAGTCAAAACTTCAAGTCTAGATGTGCATCAGGATGTAATGTTGAGTATTACTGGTGTGCTGGTCCTGAACTCCGCTATCAGCTTCTTATCAGGTCGCTTATGCTCCATTGCTGTAAAGTATTATGACCTTGCAATCACAGTCAGTGAGATAAAGACCAATCAGAGCTGGGAGAGCTGATTAAAGCCAATCAGAGACGTACGAAGTGATAAGAAAGCAGAGCTTCTGGTGCAGGTGATGAATCCGGGAGTCAGAGCCATGCAAATCATGGAAACACATAAACACTCAGAGATGTGGGCACGTTATTACAGCAGAGCAAAACAAGGAAACTCTTATATTCAATACCTCAAAGTGCTACCTGAAATTTCTCATGAACTCCAACTAAAATATTTTACACATCTTTGCCTATAAATGTGGCATTGCGACGTTTTAGTAAAGAGGCACACTGATGGGGCTTTGTTGAGAGACGAGGATCATTTCATTATTAAAATACTTTAATTAGACCTTTCAGTTCTGCCAGCTGTCTGCACATAAAAACATTCAGCAACATTCTGAATTCATTTAAAACACACTGGTGATGATACAGGCTTTACATCAGAACTGACTTCTCTAAATGTGTCATAAATCCACTACAAATGCAAAGTTCATAGATCAAAATATCCTTCTTTCCCACTGCACTACTCTTCATATTTTTATCAGTCTAATGACACAATTTTAAAATAAAGAAATCCAATGTTATTCATAGTACTTGGCTAGCCTTTTAATCAATTATTTTTTTGTTCTTAATTTATGAACAGCTTATTTTTATTGTAAGGGGAAGTCTTTAAATCTGAAGATTAAACTGTGTTGCTCTAAAATGTTTTGTAACTGCGATAGCTATGTAAAATATTTTACTAGTCTGCCTTTGGTCAGTCATTTTGTTTATTTTTCAGCTAGAAGCCTTGTCCATAAGAAGTCAATACATCTGAAGCATTAAAGGAACACATATTGAAGAATATGATAAGGATCCAGCTTTATTTTAAAGTTTCCTGACTTAGGATTAGCTATATATCAGAACCTAATCCTAGTGACTTGTGATATTTGTGGTTTGTAATATTTGTTCAAATTTTCAAAAATAGGTTCATAGCCAAAAAAAGTTACTGAAATAACTTCTTAAAAATTTTGGAATAAGTGTACATTTACAGATTTAAATTGAAAACAATCGGTGAGTCGAACACTGACTTTTAAAGTGTGGTCAAAGATGAAAGATGCTGTTTTTATGTAGATCCATACAAAAACAAATTTATGAAAAATTCAGATATTAAATGGAGTAACTAAGAATGTTTCTATTCATTTTTCTTCTTCCATCTAATTCCAATCAAATTCCATATACTCCCAGACTTGAGTTCTGCTGTGTTCCTGCAGGAAAACGTCACTATGGAAACTATTTGATGATTAAACATCCCAGAACCTGCCACCTCCTCCTCATTTCTCTTTATTCTTCATTAAAGCACAAAGCGCTGTCAAACCTCTTCTCTGTTTAGTTGGCCTTGTACGTCTGATATTAACAATTAATCACACATGTAACATAAAGACCAACTTTACAAAGTTCATTTTGTTTACATTTGTTCCCCCCAACACTGACCTGATTTTCTTTTCAAGTATGTGAACTGAATGAGTGATGAGGTTAAGCAGGGTGAAGGGGAAGAACATTTGAGAGACTTTCTAAACTCTTTTCGACGGAAAATGAAATCCCGGCCAGAAACAGGATCACAGGCTGCAATTACAGCAGCCTGCTGCACTGATGGAGGCGATAACGTGCACTTTGGGCTGCGTTTAAAGCTGGCACTCTGAACCTCAGCTCACCCTGTCTTCTTCCACCGGAGCCCGAAGCACTTGAGGAGGAGATCTGGATTCCTTTCAAAGAGGGTGGCCTTCAGGTCAGCTAAGAGTCAAGTGCAGGAAGAAGTTGGGAAGTGCACGACAATCAAAAGTTCTGATCTAACATTAAATCTGCTTCAGTTTTTTGTTTTTCCATAAGTATTCTTTTGTAACCCAAACTTTTTTTTTTTTTTTGCATGCAGCATGTGCAGCCAAAAAAAGTGACTGTTGTTAAAAGAAAACATTGTATTTGGGTTATGTTGGTATTGGGTAAGAAGAAAGGTTTTCAATAGTTAAAAAAAAAAGTGAGCATTTCTTGGAAAATATGCTGCAGAGTTTTAGTGCTGCGCCAATCAAAACATCTGCAAATCATCTGCTCATAGCTGCAAGATGTGCTGTAATAAATCGGAATTTATGCATTTATTTAATAAATAAACATATTTCATTTATCAGAGGTGTTATGGAACAAAGACCAGGGTGTGTATCCTCATAATATTTAAGTAGACTCTTTTTTCCTAATTTTTTAAGGCATCTTTAATGGATCTTAGTTTTTTTTTTTAATACAATTTCTCAAGAAATTGTTCAATCAAGTGCTTTTAAGTAATTGTAACCCATCTGTGTTATTTATGTCAGTTTCTATTGCCATAAACATTGTACATGTGAATCGTGTTGGACGAGACTTATTTGTTGATTGAGGCAGTAACATGAAATGTTGCCTGTGAATTTCTGAACAGAACTTTACGAAAGTTCACCATCTTTACAGTCCGAGATTGATTTAGTTCAAAGTGTATTCTTGTGTTCGATGGCCTAGTCAAAGTCCAGTCTAACTCAGAATTTGTAATTTGAAGTCTCACTTTCAGAAATACTCTCAGTCCTTTGTAACCAAATGAATACCATACAGTTTACATCTTTAATTATTAAAGTCTGTGAATCCATGTATTATTTCTATTCTCCTATGCAATTATATTCTGCCTTGTGTTGGTTTTTCCCATGAAAAGTCAGCAACATATTCATATTTGTGGTTGTTATGTGACAAAATGTACAAAAGAAATGCACGAACATATTTGAAAATGTTGAACAAATGATGTTAAAATATGCCAAATTTCAAGTAAAAATAATGATTTACATTTTTTTTTTTAAATAAAATACACGCAGTAAGAAAATTTGAGGTTTTGTGTTTGACAGCGTTCATGCTTGAAGACGAGCGCCAAACTGCTTAATGGTAAAAGTCTGATTTGCTGGAGGGTTGCTTGGATCAGACATGGAGTAATTATTTCCACGTTAACAGTTCACATGTGTGCTGCACTCCGGTTGAACCCTTTAAAAATAACATTACAGAAACCCCACTTAACAACAGTGGCTGATCCTGCATGCAGCTAATCATTGATGCTAATTTTGTTCTGCTTCAAATTGAATTGTTTAGACCTCCTGGTGCAGAATTTCATTACTTTGTTTCCACAAGTCACCAGTTTGAGAGTTCACCAACCAGAGTAAATGAAACTGAAACTTCCTGACACTTTTAGGCGTCAGTGATCCCCGCTTTTCAGTGTTTATATCAAAACTATTTCAAATCAACAAGACAACCTGTATGAGTGTAGCGTAATTGAATCTGCGTTGTGTCTTGTGGGAATAACAGCCAAACAACAGCTGATCTTGAAGGCACCTTTAATATCCCTGCATTAAACAGCAGAAAAAGAAAAGTCAAAAACAGGCTCTTTCTCTGCACGGTGCTTCACAGCGCCTTCTCCCACACGGGATTCGAACAGAAAGAGCGCGACGGAGATCGTGGGAAAACCTTTCATGAACTATAGTGGTTCTTCCCAAACCCCAAACTGGCACTCAAAACAACAATACATGAACTCAATATGATTAACAGTAGAGGTAG